TGGAGTAGGCCGGTGTTGTCGAACCACTATAACATTTCCGGTGTCATTTTCTCTAACCCTCCTCTATTTAATTTTTGCAATTAATTTTCTTTATCACACATGACATAAAATTAATTGTTATAATTTGTTATTCATGTTTATATTCAATATTTACATTTGAATTATTTAGGGTGCTTAAAATGTATTTCTAATTTATTGATTAATTGTGTGTTAAAATTATTTATTTGTAAAAAGTTTACGTAATTGTTCAAATTAGACCCACTGTGTTAAAAAGTTTATAAAGTTTCATTAAACTCTATTCATCCCTCTCTATTGTTGTCATACCGATCCAACAAGTGGTATCAGAGTGATGTTTCGCTCTTTTACATAAATTATTTTTCAAACTGTATCTCGATACTAAGTGTCTTGTTAATTTTTGAAAAATTGTTTGAAAAGCTTAATTGCTAGAGTTAGTTATGACAACTTTAGATTTTCTTGAAAGTTATTGTATTGATAGACCTTCATTGTTTGATGGTAGAAAATATGATATTTGGAGACATGGAATGAAAACTTTTTTGTTATCTATTGATTTTGATATTTTGTATGTGTGTGAGAATGATATATCAAAACTAAAATTAAGTGATGAAATGCTTTCTTTCGATGCTCAAGTAATAAATATCATATGTTATGCTTTAAATAGAAAAATATGTGATAAAATTTTACATTTTACATATGCACATGATATTTGAATTTTCTTTTGATAAAATGTATAGTATTGAAAACTCTCCTTGTACTACTAATGATTTATTTGATGTGAAGGAGAATTATAATTCTAAAAATCAAAAAAATTTCCATAAAGTGGAAAAAGAAAAATGTGATGGATCCTCCATGTGTTTGATGACTGATTCGAACGACGGAACTAATCTCGAAAGTTATGAGGACGAGGTAAACCATAAACCCCTTCATATGATGAATTGTTTGATGTTTTTAAAAATATGCAACATGATTTAGAAAAAGTTAGCTCTAAATATGTGAAGCTATCAAAGAAGCATAATTCATTGTCCATAGAAAATAAATCTTTGCTAGATGCTTGTTTGAAAAATAGAGCTAATTATGTATTGTTGCATGAGAAGGTGGATAATTCTTATGATGGAAAATATGTGTTGATTGATAGAATTAAATTTCTTGAAAAAGAAAATGAGGATCTCAAATATTTGTCATGTGAATTAAAAACTGAATTAAATGATTTGAGAAATAAAAATGAGAAAAATGAATCTCTTTATTTTGAGTTAAAAGATAAAATTGGTAGTTTAAAAAGTGAAATTGTTATTTTGAAAACTAGCTATATATCTTTAGAAAAAGAAAAAATTTCTTTCATTGACAAAATTAAATTTCTTAAATGTGATAGTTATGAGAAGTGACCTTTTGCATGTGCTTAAAGAAAAAGGAATGCTTGCTACTAAAGACCTTGAAATTGCAAAAGATTCTATTAAGAAGTTGACAATAAGTGCTCAAAGATTAGATAAAATAATTGAAGTAGGTAAACCTTTTGGTGATAAAAGAGGTTTAGGCTACGTAGATGAATGTTCTACTCCTTCAAGTTCTAAAACTATTTTTGTTAAAGCATCACCTATTGTGCCTAAGCTTAATATGCTTAATGTTGTTTCTAAGAAGTCTAAATCTAATTTTGTACCTATACGTTATCCTTGTGGTATTGAAGGTCATATTAGACCTAAGTGCTTTAAATTGAAATTGCTCAAACTACTTCTTTTAGAAGAAATTTTTCTCAAAGAGAAAAGTTGCACAATACTTCAAAAGAAAATTTTCAAAAGAAAAGTAGGGTACACAAATTTGTTGAAAGGAATAAATCTTTGCATAATGTTGTTTGTTCCTCATGTGTCAAGTACGGACCTAAAGCTTATCTTGTTACTTGTCTAAATTCAATGCTTTAAATGTCAATGCAAATACTAAATTTATGCCTAAACATAGAAATGGTAGAAATATGCATGCAAAATTGAATTTTGTGCCTAAACATGCTCTGCTTGAACTAATTATTTGCATAGTGCTAAATTTGTTACTAAGCATGTTCATAGAAAATGAAATTATATGCATAATGTCAAATTTTTACCTACATGTCATTTTTGTGGAGTTAAAGGTCATACTAGGTCAAAATGTTTTAAGTTGGAAAATGCTCCAAAAAATAATTTCTCCATAAAAAGTAGAGTGCAAAATCAAGTTGTTAAAAAGAAATTCTTGTCTAATGGTTGTGGCAAAATTTATTATTAAATTCGATAGTTGTTTGCAAAAAATAAACATTACAAATATTGGATTGCTATATGTCAGAAATTATTGAATATCTATTTTGGCATATTTTACATGATATTCTATTGTTGGTTTTTAATATTTATCAAATGGATTGATTTATGATTTATCAAAATATTGAAAATTTTGATGTTAAGATTTATTCAAATTGCTTGATTCTTGATAAATTTAAAGTCTTGAATTTTTGGTCAATTAGATGCTTGTTATTTTGATAAACATGGTCATTGATAGTTGATATATTTTATTTGAACAAGTTTGTTTTGTTGAGTTCTATGTCTTTTACATAAGAATTTTTCTTTGGATGAGATTGACAAAATTTTGATTGAATGCTTTTTTTGCCATAAACTATGTATTGTCTATGAAAATTAATTTCAAAATTTTGCTCATTGTTGAAAATTATTTGTTTTGAAATTTTGTTTGAAAAGAATGGTTGAATTCTTTTTTATAGGGGGAGTAGCTAAGAATTGATTTAATTTTAAAAATTTCATTAGCATGTTGTTCAAAAGTGGTTAATCGATTCTTGTGATTTTCTTTGTCTATATTTGATTTAACTCTTTTATAGTGACATAAGTCGAGGTAGACCTATGATTAAGTTATATTTGGTATCAGTGTTCGTTTGATTAATTGATATATGATTGTTCTTTATCAATTATTTTTTTTATAGCATTTGATATTTTTGGTATCTTGATCATGTTTCAAATGTTTATGTTATTTTATATGTGTAATGCCCCGCATTACCTTTGAGGGTATTTTCTTGACTTTATATTATTATTGTATTTCAACTAAGCTAGTCAAATCTAATTAACTTTATGTCAATAACTTTAATCCATCTTAGTTAATAATTGTAGGTTTCTTATGCTCTAACTAATTAASCGCAAGTTAATTTTATTTACTTATTAAAAGAAAATTACAACAAAATTTAGTGATTGATATTATTATGTTTATTTAATTATATATGATAATAAAAAAATAAATATGCATAAGAGATTAATAAGATTAGCAAGATTATAATTGTATTTAAGTAACAAAATTAGCAATAATACTTTAGTAATTAGATAAATGTTGTAAATTCTGGTAATTGTAATGGTGGAGTTATTTGAGTATCTATAAAGTTTCATATACATTTTACCCAAAGTTTTATTATAAAGTAATTAACCAAGTAAAGCCCCACATTATCTTTATTTTACTATTTATTTTTGTACCTTAATCAAATTAACTTAATTGGGGGAATATAGAGAGTTTTACTCAACTCATAACCATGATTAGGCAATACAATCCACCTTCCACCCAAGAGAGACATGTAGTAAATAAGTTAGTTGGGAAGACCAAAAAACTTTCACAGTCCTATTAAGTATTCAGTCATGCATGAGGAGAGAGAAGAAGCTTGTTTCATCTTCCAATATTCAAGTTTGCTTCATCTTCCAAGTCATTTACCTATGTTTATTTCTTTCATTTCCCTACAAGAACAATTCTAAGAAAAAAATTATCTTCATTATCTATGCTAGTGCTGTAAATCACACCTTAGAGGGAGAAATAGTTGTTTTTCCAAGTTCCTTCAAGGTCGTTCATCGGTTTTACCTTTTCGGTAAGAAACGATTTCTTTTATAGAGCCTAAGCATGTCCATATCTATTTTTCTAAAGTTTTCATCATCAAGCTCTCTTACTTGCTGCAAAAATTTCTCATTCTATTCTTTACGGTAGAGAGGAAAACGCACCAAAGGTAAGCATCATTATTCCTTATATAAATTATTTTTAGGATTCATTATTAAGAAAATAGGTATCGTGTAGGCCTTAGTTTTGTTAATTTGAGGTCTGAAAATCAGAAATAAAAAATCATCCTAAATTGCTTCATAATGGTTTTTAATGATTTATATTATTTTCATAGTTTTAGATTGGTTAGTATGAAAAATTGGATTTGTTAATTCTTAATTTTTGTGACCATGACTAGCACCTTTAAACTAGCCTAAAATGTATTTTCAATGTATTAAAATTAGTTTTATGATTAATTTTACATAGAGCTTAAAATTGGTAAAAATTAGTGTTATGTGACTTCTTTATTTTCGAATTTTGAAATTAAGTATATCGTTTGATAGATATTTTTGTCCAAAAATCAAAGGCTAATATGAGTTTAGAAATTAGTTTTACAAATTTAAATATTTATTTTAGTAATATATAATTTAGACTAGTAAATTAGTGAACCTAGTTAGTTTATGAGGTTTTCTTAAAAAGCAAAATTTAGGTAATTAAATACTAATTTTAGATATGTTAATTTCTATTTAGGAAGCTTTAAGGATTTATCTTTAATTTACGACGTTCAGGTAATTGATTGATTGTAAGTGAATTATGTTATTTGTTACCTTGGTTTGTTAATTAATTATGTTATTCATGTTGCTTAAATATATTTTGTTATTGAATGGTTATTGTGGTTAAATTTGATGTTATTGTAAAGCATGTTGTGATTGTGTGGCTTTATCATTTCATAGTCATTTCATTTTAAGTATGTTCAATACTAAAGCATGTTTAGGTAAAACATGACATAATGTGTGAGACATTCCACTCGTAGTTAAGTTAGTAGTGTTATGTGTCATGAATTTAGATAAGATTAATGTTATGCATGTTGTGATTGTGTGGCTTTATCATTTCATTTATGTTTCTTGTTTGTTGGAAAAAAAAAAAGAAACAGAAACAAAATCAAAAAATAAAAAGAAATAAAAAGAAATAAACATCATCTAGAGTTTAGAATATCTATTACAATTCAAGTCTCAAGAGCAAAATTAAAAATAACAATAATATATATCCTTCAAATGTTGCCCAAATTTGATTTGCAATATTGTCTCCCACTCGAGCCATTCACCTTAAATGATGTTACCTTCCATCTACTTCAATTAGAATACTCTGTTCTGACAAACTTTGTAAATCTTCAACGATCATTGATTCATTGCTATAGTCATTAAATAGATCATATTCACGATCATTTAATCTAACATAATTGTGAACAGTACAATATGCTATTGGTATATATTTTTGTGTATCGACCGGGTAAAGAGGCATTTATTTAACAACGTTCAATTACGTTTCGTAGTGAAGAATGTTGATAGTTAAACACCGCTTCCCTACCTCGAGGATGTTGCCTCCTTTCTCTAAAATCTCATAGATGGTACCTTTGACTGCATGGTGCTAGAAACCCAAGCATATTTGTATATCCAGAATTAACAAGATATATTTTTCTGCATAATAATAGAAACTTATGATGAACCCAAATATTGAATTTAAATATAACAAACAAATATATTTATATACCTTCTTTAGGCATAGGAAATCTACTCTCAAGATGCCTCATACATTCAAGAAGTATGCGAGAATCATTGGACGATCCTTCCCAACTAGACATGACATAGGTGAATAGCATATCAAACGAACAGATACACATTATATTTCACGCCGTCTTAGTTTTTCTACCACGAAACATAATTTGTTTACTTTGTGGAATGCATGCAGCTCAATCGCACCATTAGAATTCTAAAAAATAAGCACAAGCACAAGCATATTATTAAAAAAAATTATTCAAAATGTGTGTGGAAAAAAATAAGTAATTCATTACTTTAAAGAAAGAATAATATTTAGGCTTGGATATGATCTCCAGTGGTATAATGTCTAAGTTGGGTGGACATATAATTTCTACTCCAAGCTAGCAAACTTTCTTTAAATCACGGTTGAAGGATAGAGAAATGGTATGCGATAAATGTTGAAATCTACCATACGATTCCTTTCATTATATGATACCATTAACAAAAAAGGTGGCAACTTGCTCTTGAATGTAATTTGTTTTAGATTTTAATTCTTCGCAAAAAACTATGAATGTAACTTTTTTCATCCTAAAACAATCAAAGCATCTTATGTTGTTGTCATTTAATAACTCAATCACATAATCATGACCTTTAGGTGAAGAAGTTTTACAAGGTTGTTTAGAATACTAGTAGACGTCAATGCAAACATACAAATACGTATAAAAACTCATCATCTCTTCATCGTTGTAATCCTTAAAGTCATCATCTCCAATAATATCCTTCCTATTGTGTTGAAATAGTTCCATGAACTTGTATAAATAAGATAGGAGTAAGAAACAACTTTATAAACATAAATGGATCACAATGAGAAAAATAAAAATAAAAAGAAATCGAATTCGAAATATTTATCTTATAAACCAAAAACGATAACCACATCAGTCGAACTTTGAGTTTCAATCAAAAGAAATAACATAACCACAAAAGATAACCACAAATTAGATTTTCAAGTTTCAATCAAAATAAAAGCATAAAATGACATATAAATACTATGAACGAAATCTTTCTTTCTTGACTCATGCATGAGTAAAAACATTTTTTCTCCAAGCAGTATCCCCATGCAAAAGCTTCAAGACTTTAGTATAAGCTTCTCCATTAATATCTTCCATTGTATTTAAAACTTGGAAGCATTCCATCAACTCTTCATTTGTAGAATCTTTTGCCTTTGATGACTGACTTTCATCGACTCGAGATTTTTTCTCAAGAATATCATTTCTTCTCTTTGCATTTTCAGCATACACATATATAAACGAGGAAATGAAACTACTCATCTCTTTTCTTTTCCTTCGAACTCATTTCCCACTTTTTTCTTGTCTTTTATTATCTTCAATAAAAAAGTTTGTATTTCTTCCAACATCAGTTTCATCTTCAAAATCTGATGGAATTTTGGTTGATAGACAAACATTAGCACCTGTAGCTTTAGTATCTCCAAATATTCTCATAAGCTTTCCATAATGTGGACAACCATTTTTTAAAAGTTCTTAGCTCTTTTATTCACCTATGAGAAATTGCACATCAATATATAAGTCGTACGAAAAAATACTTTAATTTATTTTTACCTTAAAAAGATCATTTCATTGCTCCTCTTCAAGAGTGACAGTGCCTAATAATGGATCACACCCATTTCCAGTTATACCACTCAATAACTTCTTGAAGTCCTTGTAAATTCGTCTTAACTTATTGAACTTATTTTTCAGCTAGTCATCAGTATAAGCATATTCTGTAATAATATTTAGTTGGTTTCTCATATGATTCCAAATTGAATTTGTAAATTTTGTGGTTGGTTGATTGGCCTTTGTAACTTCTTCATCCATTAAATCAATAAAGCTTGATTCTTGTCTAACCATGGTCCCTCACTTTTTAACTCATCTTCAATTTCAACCACATCATCAACACAATGCTTTTCTAATGATTTTATTGACATCGAAAATGATGTATAAGAATTAAAACAAAATCAAACTATTTAGTAAGTATTTAAACAAGCACACGAAACTAAAATTGAAAATTCTCAATTTAAGCAAAAAATCAACCTGAGCATCAAACTCAAAAGAGCCAAACAAATCAAAATGGTAACCTGCACTAACTATGACAAAAACTAACACATCACAAGAGCAAAAACTACAATAGCTTCTGAATATTGTTTCAAAACTACTAACTTTTGTATTGTTTTGAACAAGCATGAAAAGATATTAATAGTAGTAACAATAGGAATAGAGTAAAATGGAGATTCGGAGAAATCCGGAGGAATGTCACATGAAGGATAAAGCTTCATGGGCAAGACTAATGGAAACCACCTTAATGGAAAGTCAAATGAAGTGCATAGGCCATGTCCCCAAGTAAGAATAAAATAGGGCATTGGGGCCTTAAAGATGCGACGACTTGAAAGTGAGTTTAAACAGTCGAGGTACAACTACAACATCGAAGGGGAGAAGATGATGGTACTATGATGGGCAACTTACATAACCACTTTGAAATTGAACATGGAGGAGGACGAAGAGAATGTGTTGGTGGCTAATCCAATTAGAGAGTCTGAACATTTTAAAGCATGAAAGAGAGATTTGGAACAAAAAAAAAAAAAAGACAACTCCTCTCCCTTTTTCCAGCCAAAGAAGACAAGAGTCTGTAAGACTAAAAAAGAATCCTTCTAGGGATAGTCCTGTAGAGTATGTGAAGAATTGTGAGTATGTTTAACGCCCATTCCAAAACCTAAAGGGAATTGGAGGATAGAATGTACAAGAAGCCTTAATGGAATATTATGAAACTAAAATACCACACGGCGAATTTTTTGGTGGCCAAGAATGAGAATGGAAAGACTTCATTTTGGAATGATAAATGGGTAGAGATCAACCAATATCGTACAAGTTCCCCAGATTTTACTCAATCATAGAGCATGCAGGAAAATATTTTATAGCCAAGCTTTGGAGGGAGTACTATGTGCAGAATTACTGCAAGGAAAATATTACATGAGAAGATGGAAGAGTTAAAGGAACAATTAATGGGGTACACACTAGAATGAGGGGAAGGATAAAAATTTCGTGTTTTGGAAACTCATAATCTCATGCTCCCTAATAAAATAGAGAATTATTGAGGCTTTGTTGGAAGATGTGATGGTCCTCTAAAGGTGAAGATCTTTGTTTGGATTCTATTTGTCATGAAGGTTTTATTTTAGTAATACAAAACGATTGCGAAGAGAATTCCTTTGAACTGCCCCAAGCCCAAATTGCTTCATATTATGTTTAGTAGAAAATGACCAAGCACACATGTCTTTCACTGTTCACATGGTTGGAAATTATGGGATTCTCAATTTTAATGCTTTGGTTGTTCTTGAGTCTTTGATCAGCCGGTCAATGATAACGTTTCTCAACTGTTTTATGATCAAAAGTAGGGCTAAAATGCCATGGATAATGATATAAAGGCAACTATTTTGGGATATGGTGTAAAAGAAATCTGAGATTTTCTGAAAGAAAGTGTCTAGGTTGGGAGGAAATGGTCAATTTATCAAAATACTATGCATCTTCTTGGTTTATAGTTTTAAGTTTCTTTCACCGCCATACTTCTGATATATTTAAGATTAATTTATTTTTTCTGTGAACTAATGAGAGTTGTATAGATTTGTTGTCTTTCAACAACTTTCACTAACTAAATGATATCGTAAACAAAGAAAACAACAAAAAAATATCTAGCTAATTAGACTAGCTTTTGTTGCATTTTCATATTCTATATACACATAACCTGCACCTATACCCCATTTTTTAAAGGGAAAAATATCTAGCTAGCACACTCAAATTTACCTCAAACTCAAAAGAGCCAAACAAAAAAGGATAAAAAGAAATCAGATATCCACAACATCTCCACAACCACACCACAAAAATCCAAAAGTATATGGATTTTCCACTAAAAATGAGCAAATAACAAAGACCCGTAAACCAATTGCATGCAAAATCAAAAAAGAAAACCCCCAAATCGTCATTAGAGCAGAAGAAGAAGCTCATACCATGGAGAAGAGGTTTGTGAAGCGTATCCATTCTCCATGGGAAAGACTCTCAAATAGACGAGAAATTTTGCTTTTATTTTGAAGTATAGATTGAGAAAAAAAGGAGAAGAGTAATAGAACATACCTTCCATGAATTCGAAGAACCCTAGCGAAGAAGGAATCCCTCTAGTGAATAAGATAAAGAATCAACAGGGAACCAAAAAAAAAAAAAAAAGAATCAGAACAAGAGAAACTTGTTTTGGGAGTTCCCACAATTTTGCCCTTTTTTCATAAACGTTTTTCAAAATTTAGAAACGAGAATAGTTACCAAACAAGTCTGTTTCTAAAAAAATGAGAAATGAGAACAAGAAACAAGAAACGAGAACGTTATCAAACGAGGTCTAAAGTGTTTATTTCCCATTTTTTGTTTTTTATTCCTTTTTTTTCCGAAATAGACTTGTTTGGTAATTCATCCCACTTCTCGTTTCAAAAATTTGAAAAACGTTTAAAAAAATGCTAAATTTTGCAAACTACAAAAAGTAGTTTCGTTTTTTCTGTTTTCATATCTTGGTCTCAGTTTACATAATGTATATCGTGCATTTTTAATTATAATTGATCTTGAGCCTTGTTGGTATATTCACGTGTGTAGTTTCTATCTATAAAATAATTTATTGATAAAATATTTTCTTTTTTTTCTGATAAAATATTTTTTAATTTTTTAAATTAAAAATATTTGAGAATTTATTCTTTATTTAAAACTAATAGTTTAAACTTTTATATTATAAATTATATTTTCTTTAATGAATTATATTCTTTAACGATCGTTGAAGATTTATGTTGTTATGGTTTAGAACCCTTTGTGCAAGTTACACAATCGTTGTAGCAAGTGATAAAAAAGATCGTATCTACAGGGATTGATGACTAAACACTTCAATATTTTACTTAAGAAAACTAAATAAGCTTAGCAAAAGTATGGTTGAATACAAAGACTTCGGAATTTAAATTAGTGCATAAAAAGCTTACTAACTAACTGAATAGAACACATATGAATATAGTTCGATTTTAGGAAAGTGAAGTAAAATGGGTTAACTACAGATGTAACAAGGGTAAGAGGGAAGAGTTTATGTGACTTCTTCTGGGTTTACGCAAACAATGCTACAACATCGACGATATAATATACTGGCCAAACAGACACAGAATCTTCCTAGATTTCCTAGATTTTCTACTATTCATGTTTTTAGACAAACTTGACAGGATATATACTCAGTTTATAACCTTGCTAGGTGAGTCTTATTCCTAAGTACCAACACTCTAACTAAAGTAGATATTCCAATATGTTGGCCAAGCACATTGAAAATAAAACGTTAAAAACAACTTCAACTCAGTATATATATTATCATCAAGTCAAAGCAAATTTTACAGCCCAAGAACAAGCTCACAACATCCTCCCCCTTACAAATAAACTTAGCTACGCAATGCCATACAAGAAAAGGGAAGAAGAAAATACAAAACCCGTGCACTAAAGAGTACAAAAGAAGAAGAAACTGAAGAATAGCAGCAGTCATTCTCTCTTTGTTGTCTTCTTCAACGGTTTCTTTGGAGCTTTCTTCCCTCTTCTCTTATCTTGTTCTTTTTAGGATTTTTATGAAGAATAAGAATGAATGGACGCAACTTTGAAATGAAAGCATTTATAGCCTTCCTCAATTTTAGGGCAACCAAAATGGATCAAACGGGGCCCAGCCCAATTTAATGGTGAATCTACGTTTTATTGCAATAAATTTTTAGGTAAAAATATGTCACTTTCAGTTCTGTCTTTTCTGCATTTTTTATTCTGATGCTGCATCATCAACAATGCTACATCAAAACATTCAAAATTAGGCAATTCTTCATAAATCTGAGCATTGTTAGCAAAAATAAGGAGGATATTGAATTTATAACATTCTTTGCACAAAATCAATGTGGATTGGGTGTTAGTTTGACTACCCTTAACTAATTTATATGAAATTCTTGCACAAATAACTCTCTTTTGGAGGGTTATCAATTTACGAAGTGCGTCAGAACATAGTAGTCTAATTAAGCTAGATCTGAGTTGACATCATTTAAAACGAATGGCTTGAGTGAGAGACGATATTGCAGATCAAATTTGGGTTGGATTTGAAGAATAAATATTATTACTACTTTTAACTTACGTTTTAGACTTGAATTGTATTCAATACTCTAAACTTTTGATATTGTTTATTTATTCGAGTATATGTTATATCTTTTTATTTTATATTTACTAAATTTCTAAAAATAAAAACAAGCCAACCTAAGTTAAGGTATATATCCATGACCAAGAGGTCGTAGATTCAAATCCTCACACCCACAAGTTGTTATACTAAAAAACCTAAAAATTAAAACAAGAAATTAGAAATAGTTCTCAAATATAGTTTTGCTCTTCTCTTTTTTTTTTTCGAGAAACAAGTAACCTAAATGGTTATCAAACGTATTTCTGTTTCTAGTTCCAAAAATTAAAAACAAGAAACAGGAAATAGGAAACGGGAAACATGAAACGAGAACTTCACCAAATAGACCCTGAAATATTCACCTCAAGCTCCTATAAATAAGACGTCGGGGTAAGCAAAAAAAAAAAAGACACATTCTTTGAGTGAATTCTCCCTGATGTTGGTTTCTAGCAATTTGAAACTCGATTTCCTCCATAAATTCTTCAATTTTCCAAGACTTAGAGGAAAATTTTCTTCTTAGTTTTGTTTCAAGGAGTTCCCACCAACCTTAATCTGTTGTTTCAGTCATACTAAGAAAGATCTGGAGGATCATCAAATTGAGGATTCTACAAAGATAAGTTTCTAATCCTAATCCTAATTTTATTCAAAATATAAATTAAATGCCGATTTAAGATTTATTTGTTTGGAATTCAAAATTCCATTGTAGAATGAATTGTTCGTTCCAACAGTTTATTGTACTCAAACTAAATAAATAAAAATTAAACAAAATTAAATGGGTCAACTTTGGAAGAGCTTGGTAAAGGTAGCAGAGGGTGGTCACGATCATCATCTATGTATTTTATTTCTGATTCCAACTTAGTAAATTTATATAATCTTATGACAAATTTGAGAGAAAACTTAAAAGTTTTATTTTTTTATATAATTTTTTTAATGTGAATCAAGAGGAGAATTGCTTCCCTCTTCCTTCTTTATTCTATCTCGTCCATGATTGTTTGAGTACAAAATCTCACTCAAATGTCTAACGAACCCCAATGAGAATTAACCTACAAAAGAAGTATGAGCACTCTAACGCTCAAGTTAGTAGATGTCCGAATTGATTTATTCTCAAACTCAAATCGAGAATCAGCGCATACCTGTGAATCAAGTTACCTAGGCTATTTATAGATGGCCAACTACTACATGTTAATTGCCCAGGATATCCTATCTAGAAATCGCGTAGCAGAAAGTAGAGTGTGGTGAGTGGGTGGTTAGAATATCGTTTAGCGGATATCTTTGAACACACACCTCCAAACTCCTAGTACTCCCAACGTAACCATGTTCTGATCTTGTGTTCGGACTTATCTGGAGGTAAGGTCTAAGCGCATGACATGTGGCAATGAATTTTCAACCTCCTAATATTAACCCCTACTTTGTAAGTTGAGTAGGAGACCAACTCTGCAAAGGACAGATTAACGTTTCCAAGTTGAACACCAAACTCTTTCATAATTAAACATGAGTAACCTTAAATAATTACCACAAGAATTAATAACTAGCGTTTTAATTAATCATAGAACCCTAAGTTCTCTGTTGCAAATTCTGAATGTCATTAAAAGTCTTTTTAATATGGGCCGTTCAACGAACCCTAGATTACATGATCAAGACAGATTTATGGATTTTATAAGTCTCTACTGCTTTCATTTTGAACTTACGCACACTGGTTCTTTGAAGATGGTTTCTAATTCGAACTCATCCAAAGCTTTCATCGCATGTGGTTTTAGGCCAGTAATCTTCTTTGATTCATTTGTCATCTTTCTTTTCATTTTGATTTTGGGAATAGGTCAATAGATGCCTAGGACCAAAACTTTCAATGCCTTTGACACATATAATAGGGGAATCAAGTGGGGGGTTTCCTTCTATCTCCGCTAGGGATCCAGTTAAAAATTTATCCGAGTGTACAGAGATGTTTTTGACGACTCTTAGATATAGGTATGACATCTCTAAGAATGTCAAACTTAGATAACTTTGCGAGGGCGAAACTTTAGAAAACCCACATTTTCGATATATAAGGATTTATGCGAAAATGTTTGGATATGGAGTTAGGATGTCTCTTCATCCCTTCACCCAATTATTTTTGGTGTAACTTGCACCCAATAGTGGGGCACTTTAATGGATTTTTGGTACCTCTGGTGGAGGTTTTGTTTGTTAACAGGAAATAAACACTAAGGAATAATAAATATGTGAGGAAGGGGATGATTTCACTACCTTGGATTGAGAAAGCTTTAGCCTATTTATATAGGTAAATACATAACATAATAATATAAAAATAGGACTCCACAACTAACAAAATCCTTAACTAATCTCCTAAAGATGAGGACAATTTGACTGATAACAAAGAGCTTTAATAAATACTAAAAATAGTTATTATGCTAACAATCTCTTCCTTAAACTGAACACTACTGTGCTTCAGTTAACAACATCAACGTCCTTTAAAGTGCACATACCCATCAACCTTATCAAATTTTGGAAAGCCAAAATCTTGAGAGGTTTCGTAAGTATGTCAGCTAGTTGTTTCTCGCTTCTGCAGTACTTCAGATTAATGGTGTCGTCATTGTTGAGATCTATTAGAAAATAGTACTTGACGTCGATATGCTTACTTCTTCAATGTAGTATAGATATTTGGACAACTTAATGGCTCAAGTGTTGTCACAGAAATCATGGTTGCTCTTGGTTGCTTGAATTTCAACTCCTCTAAAATTCTCTGAAGCCAAATTGTTTGACAAGCACAAGCTATCGCAACAACAAATTCAGCTTCTATGCTTGAAAGAGTGACGATCAGTTGCTTCTTCGATGACCACGAAATGACATTCATCCCCTACGGAAAAACGTAGCCCGAGGTGCTCCTCCCGTCATCTTA